ACCTGTCAAGAAGCCCCATTAGCATTTTCCCCACACATATCAACAGCAACAACGGGAAAAGAAAAAAACTCACCCCTTGCTAATCCCCCGATTATCACGAACAATATAAACCTGCTGCACAACCCCAAACTTCTCCATCCGCCGCTGCACATCCTCCGCCGTAACGTCAAAGAACAGATTCCCCACAAACACCGTCTCCTTCGGCTCCGTCATCCTCTTCAGCTTGCGGAACAGCTCCATATGTCGCGAACTCCTCGGGTACGCCTCATCATCGAGAGCCGCCCCCTCGTCGCCCCGCTCCGCAGCCGCCTCGAGGCTCACTGCATCGTAGTAAGGGTCGCCCGAAGAAAAGCGGTCTCGCGGGTCTACCTCGTTGTCTCGGGGCTGTTCTTCAGGCTGGGTTTCGCGACGCGCTTCCGTCGTAGTGGTCGTAGACGCAGGCGCATCCTCGGCTTGTCGCGCGGCAGAATCTTCGTGGGTATCGGAAGGAGTAGTAGTAGTGGTAGATTGCGGCTGGGCCGGCCGTTGCGCGTCCTGGCTATTCCATCGGCTCTGGATTATCGAGGGGCTCGTTCGTCGGGGCACGGGGAAGCGAGTTGTGTGGTGGACGGCGCTGCTGTTCCTGGTCCACGTTGATCGTACCGGCGCTGAAGCCTTCGAGGCCAGCAGACGGCATGCGGCCTGTCGGATGGAATGCCTGGGCAAGCGCATAAAGTTAGCCCACGATCATTGTTGCAGCTTCCGCCCTTTCTTCCTGCGGCTTACATTTTGAGCCAGGATATCCACGGCCGATTGAGAGCAAAAAGACTGTAGAGCTAAGACGGGATTGTCCCTCTGATGTTTTTCGGAGACCAGGAAAAAGACCCAATCGGCTTCCGATAAGGTCACGTGATTATGGCGTGGTGTCTGATAAGGCCACACTGAGAACTATACAGTAGATACTTTTCACCATTACGATATGCCAGGATCACGATGAGGTGGGTATTGTTTATAATAATACATTTCGCGGGAGATGAGTGGTCTCCAGGCCGGATAAGAAAAGCGACCACGTCAAATCAAAAATCGCCAAATACAGGCCGACAACATAGGGTAATGTACCAAGTAGATCATAATATGCTCAAGAACAAGACATCAACATCGTAGGTTTTTTTCCAGAATTCGTTATCCACCTCTTTGCGCCAACTTATAAGGTAAGGAAATAGACTCATGGGCCACTCTGGCCAGGAGCCCCCTGGTTCGGCTGCTGCGGGGCGCCGTTACTGTAAGATCCAGGCATCGGCGGACCGTTGCCATAGCTATTGCTGTCGAGGAAGAAGAGATTGGGGTGACGGGGGAGGGGACGGACCCGGTCCGCAACACCACCAGGAGTACTCTGGGCCGGGACCGGGGACGGAGATACGCCCGTTTGGCCCTGCTGCTGTTGCAGCTGCTGTTGCGCGTCCAGCCCCGGCCACCATTGGCCCGAGAAGTCGAGTGCCGGGTTTTGCATGTATGTGTCCCAGGCGTCCTGATGATCCGTTAGCAAATCGAATCCGGTGCAGAATGAAAGAAAGCCAGGCCATACCCAATCCAGATTCAGCTCCATGTCAGGCATCTGGCCAAACATGCTGCCAAACGGCGAAGGAGCACCTCCCAGGTCGGCGGGGGCGCCAAAGGAACCCGGTGTTGGCAGCGGCGCATCGGCCATTTTCACCGATGGGTCGCTGAAGCCCGGGGGTGCTGTGTTCATGGGGCTCATCCCACTGCTCAACAGACCTAACGTGATAGCAGCATTCTGCTTCTCGTCCTGCGGCTCGAAGGTCGGCGCTGTCGTACTGCTGCTGTCGGTAAATCCCATATTCAGCCGGGCCAGCATCACTTCGAGAGTCCCTGCAGCTTTGAAAGCCTCCATGGTCTGGTCGCGCTGTTCTTGCCAGATGTCCTTGGAGCGCTGCAGTGCGGCCATCATTTCGTCTCGGCGTTCTCGGCCCCAGGCGAACGTGTCGCCGGAGGCTCGACCCCCGGCTTGTAATCGATCGCCGTGATAGAGATCTAGTACAACGATGGTGGCGGCAAGTAGGAAATCAGTTGATGAGAATGAGGTGACTCCGTTTCGGAGAGCCCGCAAGCGACCTGTGGGGCCGGTTTCGGTGTGGAATATGGACTGGAAGCGCAACAGCTCCATGGCGGAGTCGATGCATGTTCTTCGGGAGTAGGTGAAGCGGGGATTCTCGCGCGCGCGAACAATGTATGGCCTGTGAAGCACGCACTGGGCTCTGTGGTATATGCTTATTACCTGGGGGGAAAGATGGGCGTTAGATAGAGTTGTAGTCGCGGATCGGGAAGACCTACGGAATATCGAGACATGATGACATTTGCTGGGTCAAGCTGGGATTCTTCTATCGGACGGAGCATCAAATGCTCAGGAATCATGTCTCTGGCTCGACGAAGCTCCGCGTCGATCTCCATCACCTTGTCATAGGATCCGCTTTCGAGGGAAGTCGCGTGCTCGGTAACTCGCCCGAAAGCGTATACCAGACGTGCTTTCGTGATGAGATAGGAGATTGGGGTTGGTTCGTTAGGTGGCCGTGGGGCCGGGAGCGCCTTGCAGTCCTCCTCCAAGTCGTCGTCGTACACGTTTTGGGGAAGCTCGGTGTCACTATCGGACGTGCGAAGCATGCTGGGCAAGGCGACTTGAAAAGAGAATAGCAAGTCACACACCCGCACTAGTGTCCAGACACGCCGCCGCATCTCCCCTTGGAATGGCGTGATATTGGGAAACGCCTTCGAGTCCCGGTGATAACCCATGCGCATAGCTAGCCTCGCAATCACGCCTACGAGCACCCAAACAGACACGTCCGCCTCTCTCGTTTGCGAGAAGTCTCCGTGTAGGTGGAACATCAGGGCTTCGATCAAGTACGGCCACGGTTTGGTATAATCTGCCAGGGTCAAACATTGCGCCATGAGGTTCCGAAACGTGCCTGCCATGTCCAGGGACTTGCCCCGGAATTCTGGGGGCTCGTCCTCTTCGCGGTGGTACGAGAGCATGGCCAATCGCATGATAGATAATAGCATGCCAACCCAAACGATACATGTCTGTGACGGGTCTTCCCAGTGTTTGTTATACTACGACGGTCAGCGCCACTTCTCTTGCCAATGGTCCAGGTTTATTTCTTACCTGCGCCTGGAATGTAGGGCCATGAAGGATTACTGGGTCAGAGGTTAGCATGGTAAGAGGACACGACACACGGGTGCAGTCCAACTTACAAGTGCAAGGGTCGTAGCTATTGAAATATCGCGCAACAAGGATATCTGTCGTGTATTTCGAAGGGAACGAGGACATGATCTCTGCGCGGCTGGCGGGCTTCGTGGCGCCAAAGAGCAAAGCGGAGCCCGGGACATCGGTTGGCAGTCGAGCGGCATCAAGTCTTTCCGCTTGTTCCTCGTGCTGTTTCTTATGAGCGGTGAAATAATTTCGCACTTCCGCAAACTATAAACCCAGTCAGCCTAAGATCCCAAGCATTCAGCAATCCCAAGTCTCACATCGCTGAGAACCGACGCCCAGTGCGCTTCACTGATATAGTAAGACTTGTTGTGGTTGTCAACTTTCATGATACCAAAAGACTTGGTAACCTGTTCGGTGTCGCTTTCCTCTGCGTCGGGGACCTCGTCATCCAGCTTCGGATCAGACCCATTCTGGGCGGAGCTGATACTGCTACCGCTGCCCGAGATAGCAGACACGGCTGCTGCGGGACCCGCTGATTGGGATCCGTTGGTCATCAATGACAACACCAAGCCTTCTAGTCGGTCGATCCGGTTCTGCATGTCATCTGGAGAGCTCGAACTGCTGTGTTGAGACACGTTCTTCTTTCGGGTATTCGGTTGGGCGTAGCTGCATGACGGGGCATCACCCCGCTTGACGCAATTTTCACACGGGTGGGAGCGGTTGCATTTCAGCCTAGAACGCACAGCGTCAGACAATCGTCAGACCGTGGACATGTACAAAATGCGGGGGAGCATCTTACTTTCTTTGGCGACAAGGCCCGCAAGAAAGAGGCACCCGGTTCCTCTTTCGAACCACCCTATAGTGTCCTTCGGGGGAGATTGCGCCAGCGCTGGGGGATGTCGTGGAGGGCGGAGTGGGCGACATTCTTTTTTCGTGTCTGGAAAGTCACTGTACTTGTATTGGGGAGGGGCTCCGAGGCGAGCGCACGGACACGGCGCAATATCACACCCTACAAGTATACGATCGTTGTCCCAGGCAATTTTATCTTTCCGGGCAGCGCCGTCTCTCTGTGGTATGGCTGTGTGAAGCTGAACCACACCGATGTGTTCAGTCCGAGTCTCCTCCGGCGGTCCTTATCGGAGTCACTTATATCGGACAAGGCGAGAGCGTCCTCCGTCACGGATATGTTTCCGGGTGCGCGTGAATCCGGCGCTCACCATGCGGTAGTTGCGACTCTTATCGACGAAACCTTTGGGGGTCAATTCGAGGGTACCAAAGGTCGCCGGGGGGGGGGGGCCGATTCGAAGCGAGTGGTTGGGAGGTGGCTGTAGTCCGCGCGACAAACTGAGCGGGAAGCCTGAAGTCGAGTCGCGATGAAATCAAAAGGCCTTGTATGGACTTGTTCGCTGTTCGCTTCAGACCTTACACTGAACGTGGGGTAAATAAGACGCGGCAAAGGGAAATTATTCGTCGGTGGTCAGATACGGAGGGGCGAGCAAGCATTCGTAAGTGTGCCGTATGTAGCCTCGTGCGAATTGACAGACCGGCAGAGATGGGAAGAAACGTTTCTTGGGCCCGAGTGGCACGATCGCAAGAACGTGGGAGGGTAGAAGTGGAAAGAAGGATATTTATAATGAAGGATTGAGGAGAAGAGGAGCCAGAGCAGGGTCTCTTTGTCTGGCCCTCTTATCGCCGGCGCAATTAAGCTCTAGTGAACCAAGAACCATTTGATTAGTGTCGCCTCAGGCAGGATGTCGAGGCTTGGAAGAAGAAAAGAAAAAGAAAAAAAAGGATCCGACAGCTGCAGGATTCGAACCTGCGCTCACGAATGAACGGGATAGCAGATGAGATACATAGCAGTCCCGCGCCTTAACCACTCGGCCAAACTGTCAATTGGTTGACTAATACAATTTCATGGGGATAGACGACCAGGATATTGCATCTTCTATCTCTATTCGCGGTCGATTTCTACAGAGTTGACCACTCAACTCGATCACGGGTGTTAATCCCTTAGTGCTACAATCTCTTGTCATGGTAAGCTAAAGGTCTGAAGCTTGATCTCTATTCCGTAAACCGTACTTGATCGGAAATTCCGCCGTCCGGTTCATGAGAAGCACCACCTTACGAGGAAGTCTCTACAGGTATTATGAACATCAAGTCCCGCATATTCTCTTTGTTGAGTATACGGATTGCCCTCAGTCAGGATTGGGTTTAGTCTATAATTATCTAGTACAGTAGTCTCCAGAGTCCGCTGGAGTCATGCTCTTTATCTTTGCTGGTGACGGTAGGCTATTCCGCTAGGATTAATATGTGAACCTAGTGGGCGTTGCGTTGTTGTATATATTGAACAAGATTTCGACGTATTTATTTGATTTCCATTTTTTACACTGGTTCACTCTGCGCGATGGTTGGTATAGACTACTACTGGCATGTGTGGAGGGAGGATTGCAGTGGTAGCGCTACAATGAACCGAGGAATATATAGTTCCGCCAGACGTCAGTCCAACAGCCCACGGCTGAACCTGTCACAAGAACAAACACAGATCCAAGTCCTACAAGAATTCCAATAATGAGTCATAGCCCCACCTATCCCGAGCTATCACATTTACCAACAAAGCATGAGCAGATGAGATAGGAGGACATGAGGTGCCAGGATCTGACCATTGCGGCAAAGCAAGCCTCCCGCAGAACCAAATGCAAGTGAGGTTACATTCAGAAGACATCATTGATGTATGACTGATATGAAGCAGTATATAAATCAGGACAGTTTGGCCGAGTGGTTAAGGCGCGGGACTGCTATATACCATATCTGTCATCCCGTTCATTCGTGAGCGCAGGTTCGAATCCTGCAGCTGTCGTCCTATCTTTTTTTTTGAATCTTTTTTACCTTTTCCTTTTTTTTTGTTTTATTTTATTTATTATGTTTCTCCATCTTCACTCCCATCCGTTGTGGATCGCGGATGTCATGGTCTGACTGGCCCGAGATGCAGTACGGCGTAGTCCTGTCTGTCTCGGTTGCATCTGCCTGGTACCGGTGTAAATGATTGGTTGGGCCATGATCCGTTGTCGTAGGTCTTGTAAGTGCTACCTCAACTGGGGCGCTTGTCTTCTGTTGGTAGATAGAACAGTCGGGCTAGACAAAGAACATACAGGTGAGGGATTGTAGGCAGATCTGAGTTCAGTGGTTGATAGAGTTCTGTATTTTGTGGCGTTGGTTACCGCTATCCAGTAGGCAATTTCCTACATATTTAATACAGTAGTTAATGAGCAGACTATTTAGCCCAATACGTACTTGTATCTACGGAGTAGGCTGGGGTAAATATACTTAGTTACTCCGTATAGATGCCAGGATTGGAGAGTGACCCTGCTGGCATGCACAACGACAGCCAATCCCCCAGTCACTGCCACCGTCCTTGTCTGTTGGTCTGTTTGTCCTTCTGTCGACTGCGGGGCCATCTACAGCAGAGCCGTCCATTTCATCCCTCCATACCTACTCTGTCGCTCCCCTACCTTTTATTTGCTTGCTCTCTCTTCCTTCCTTCTTCCTTTCGTTCTTCCACCATCTTCATCTCTTCATCCTGCATATTTACCCCACGTCCATTCTGAGCACAACATATTGAACAAGCATCATTCATCAACCCTCTGCATCAAACCGTCATGTCCGCTCCCAGGGGACGTGGGAGAGGCGGCGACCGGGGTCGTGGGGGAGCTCCCGGGGGTGCGGGTGCCCGGGGCGGCGGTCGTGGCTCAACCACCGATCTTCCCTTCCGTCAGTCGGGCCCACCCGGTGATAGTCGCGGTCGAGGACGCGGCAGAGGCGATTTTGGCGATCGTGGAGGTCGTGGAAGAGGGGACTTTGGTGACCGTGGAGGTCGTGGCCGGGGAAACTTTGGGGATCGGGGACGTGGGGGAGGGGGAGGCCGTGGTAATCGTGGTGGCCGTGGTGGCTTTGATCAAGGTCCACGGATCTATGCGTACGCTCTTCCATCTCCCCCTACCACAGCTCATGTGAATTCTGTTGATGGGCAATGATTAGTCCCGACGGAGGCGCCGTGGCTCCAAGCCCCCAGGTGGAGAAGACCGAAAACGCCGTGGTCACTGCCTTGGCGGCTAAGAAGAGAGAGCCTGGTTTCCCTGAGCGACCGGCTTACGGTACCCAGGGACAGGCTGTCACGCTGTTTGCCAATTACATGGATCTGAAGTCAGTGGGTGGCCAACTGTTGCGCTACAGCGCTAACATCCTGAGCAACTCGGCCACCAAGAACCCCCCGGCGGGGAGGAAGGCCCGCCAGATCATCAACCTGCTGCTGGAGGAGCATTTCTCGCAACATCGCCGCCACATTGTCACTGATCATCGGTCCACCCTGGTGTCGAACGTCAAAATCCTCGATAGCGAGGACACTCCCAATGACTATGATGTGCGCTACAAGGACGAGCACGACGACGACTACTCAGACGAGCCCAGGGTTTACCGCGTGAGGGTTCAGTTTACTGGCAGACTCAGCCCGTCCGACTTGCTGAGCTACTTGACCTCGACCAATGCGGGTGCCATGTTCGAGTCGAAAAAGGAAGTCATCCAGGCGATGAACATCCTCCTGGGCTACCATGCCAAGACAAACCCGGACGTGGGCTCCGTGGGAGCGAACAAGCACTTTGCTCTCCGCGGGCCTGGGCGGGAGACATGGGACCTGGGAGCTGGGCTCGAAGTGTTCAGAGGGTACATTGTGAGTGCTCGGGCTGCAACTTCGCGTCTACTGGTCAACGTCCAGGTGAAGTATGTCGCCTGCTACCAGGAAGGCCCGCTGGCTACGGTCATCGCTAGCTTCCAGCAAACGCGCTCGCGTGATATCAACGAGTTGAGGCGCTTCCTAAGCAAGCTCAGGGTCCGAGTGATCCACATCCAGAAGAAGAATAAGCGTGGGGAGATCATCCCACGGTTCAAGACCATTGTAGGCCCGGCCACCAAAGTCGATGGCTCCGGGCTGCCTAACCGCCCCAAAGTCGAGCGGCACGGAGCCGGCCCCAAAGATGTCCAATTCTTTTTGGATGCACCAGGCCAGCCGTCCTCTCAGAAAGGTGGCAAGGGCAAAAAGGCTGCCAAGGCAGGCCCCGCAGCAGCTGGAAAGTATGTCACCGTGGCGGACTTTTTCAAACAGCGTAAGTACCCTCTCGAACACAAAGACTCGTCCGTGGGTGTCGTCGTGCTGACAGTGTCGGCCCCAAAGAATACAACATGAATGTCGATCCCAGGATGCCCGTCGTGAACGTCGGGACACGGGAGAACCCTAGCTTCCTGCCCGTCGAAGCCTGCGAGGTCGTAGCCGGCCAGCCTGCCAAAACCAAGCTGACCCCCAACCAGACCAGGAACATGCTGAGCTTTGCGGTTCGCCCCCCGCCGCAGAATGCCCAGTCCATCGCGACCAACGGCACGGGCATCCTAGGCCTCGGGGCTCCGCCCAACCCGACCCTCCAGGGATTCGGCGTCCAGTCGGATCCAAAGCTGATCACCGTTCCGGGACGTGTGCTTCCGGTGCCCAACATCTACTACAAGGACGAGAAATCGGGCCAGAAACAAGTTAGACCGAACTTTGGCAGCTGGAACATGCGGTCGATCCGGTTCTCCACGTCCACCAAGATGACCAGCTGGACCTATCTCGTGGTCGATTTCGAGGGACGCCGGCCGTTCTTCAACGGCCCCGCGGCACTGGCCGAACCGCTGAAGAGATTCACAGACAAACTGAACGAAGTGGGCGTGATGTCAGCGCCCTGTAAACCCGGAAGCCGCGTCGAGGTCAACGAAACGAACCACGAAGCGGTGGTCGACAGCGCAATCGCGAGACTCATCGCCAACCACCGCCCGCAGGTCATCCTCACCATCCTCTCCTCCGTGGACACAGGGCTCTACAACTGCATCAAGCAGACCTGCGACATCAAGCACGGCGTGCGCAACGTCAATGTCCTGGCCGATAAATTCGCCAAGTGCGACGACCAGTACTTCGCCAACGTCGGCCTGAAATTCAACCTCAAGCTCGGCGGCAACAACCAAGTCCTGCGCGCGTCCGACCTCGGCCTCATTGGCGAGGGCAAGACCATGCTCGTCGGCCTCGACGTGACGCACCCCTCCCCGGGCTCCTCCGACAACGCCCCCAGCGTCGCCGGCATGGTCGCCTCGATCGACGCCCTACTCGGCCAGTGGCCCGCCGAGATCCGCGTGCAACGCGAGAAGCGCAACGAGATGGTCGAGGACCTCAACGCGATGCTCAAAGCGCACCTCCAGCGCTGGCAACGAGGCCACAAGAACCAGCTGCCCGAGAACATCATCGTGTACCGCGACGGCGTCTCCGAAGGCCAATACGACAAGGTCATCGAGAAGGAACTGCCCCTCCTCAAGGCCGCCTGCAAAGAGACCTACCCAGCGACCGACACAGCCAAGCAACTGCCCCGAATCTCCATCGTCGTGGTCGGCAAGCGCCACCACACGCGCTTCTACCCCACCAGCGACTCAACCGCCGACCGCTCCGGCAACCCCAGCAACGGCACCGTCGTCGACCGCGGCGTGACCGAAGCCCGCAACTGGGACTTCTTCCTCCAGGCGCACACCGCGCTGAAGGGCACCGCCCGCCCAGCCCACTATTACACCGTCTGGGACGAGATCTTCCTGCGCCAGAAACCCTCGCCTCCCAACCAGAACACAGCCGACATCCTGGAGGGCCTGACCCACCGGCTCTGCTACCTGTTTGGGCGCGCCACCAAGGCAGTCAGCATCTGCCCGCCGGCTTACTACGCGGATTTGGTGTGCACGCGCGCGAGATGCTATCTCAGCTCGGCGTTTGATCCGACCCCGTCGGGGAGTATCGTTACGGGGAGTGGAGGGGGGGATGCGCAGGTTGAT